GGCTCAAGCAAGTCTCCTGCCTCCACCTCCCAAGTAGCTGGGACTACAGGTGCCCGCCACAACGCCCGGATATTTTTTGGTTGCAGCCGTCATTGTTGTTTGGCCGCCCGGGCTGGATTTGAACCCAGGAGCTCAGGTAGCTGCTTGAGCCACAGGTGCCGAGCTGTGATGACTGATGTCTTACTCTAGTAGTTCACATGAGATTTAAAAGGTGTGGGCGCCCCCTCCTCTCTCTTACTCCCTCTCTCACCACATGACACTCCCACGCCCCTTTCACCTTCTGTCATGAATGGAGACTTTCTGAGGCCCTCATCAGAAGCAGATGCTGGCACCATGCTTCTTGGACAGCCTGCAGAACCATGAACCAAACAAACATCTTCCTTTATAAAATACCCAGCTACAGGTTTTCTTTACAGCAACACAAAATGGACAGAGATGCCTCCTCACACCGAAGGCTGCTGAGTGAATATCTCAGACTATTCTCTAGCTGCAGGGCTGGGCTGCCTGTGCACTTAGGGGCAGGGCTGAGGCAGCCTTCAACCAGTGGCTGATGGGAGTTGGTGGATAAATACTGACTGCAGCTCCTTCAGCTCCCAAATCTCAGATGTCTATGCTACACTGTCTCCCAGGGTCCCCCGTGAGACTGAGCTGCCTTGCCTTGCCTCTCTCATTTCCCCTCTCCCATCCCAGTGCTTTCTGGGATCACCCCCTGAATGATCAACTAGTCCTTATATCCTTATCTCAAGTCTATGTTGAGGGAACCCCAGCCAAGAAAGCACCTCACTCCATTTCCCAACTTGTCTTTAGTTAGGCCAGTAGAAGGTAAGCAGGTGAACAAAGATGAGACCCTCAGATGTTAGTAACTGTTGATGGATCAAATCCTGCATCCAGCTCCCATATGTGCTGAGTCTGAGCTTGTCTAAATTCCCCTCTACTGGGTATCTGAGCTACCACTAAACCAGGGGTCTAATACAGAGTTTTGATCTGGGTTCCTCCCTCACTTAAATATATTCCATGGCTCCCTACTGCTTCCTCTTGGTCTACCCTCACTCATCTCTGCAGCCTATTCTACTGGATTCCCTCTCACACTTTCTAGAGAGAGGAAGTGACTTTTTCTTGCTCAAATAAATAATAAACATTATTGCACATTTATGCAGACCTGATGCTTGCTACTTGCTTTGCCTGCAAGTAGAAGTATTTGCCTAGTACCACACATAGTCAGGGCTTAGTAAATGTTCCCTGCATGTTATCTGCATCATACCTCAATTGTACAACCATGCTATGAGGTAGATACTTTCTTTTCTTCTTTTTCTTTTCTTTTTTTGAGACAGAGTCTGTCTCTGTTGCCTGGGCTAAAGTGCATTTGCATCATCAAAGCACAGCTCACTGCAACCTCGAACTCCTGGGTTCAAGCAATTCTCCTGCCTCCAGCCTCCCAAGTAGCTGGGATCACACAGGGCAGTGCTCCCATGCATGGTTATTTTTTCCAGTTTTAGTAGAGACAAGGTCTCGCTCTTGCTCAGGCAGGTCTCAAACTCCTGGCCTCAAATGATCTTCCCACCTTAGCCTCTCAGAAAGCTAGGATTACAGGCATGCACCACCATGCCCAGCCCAGATACGTTCTTAAGCTCCACTTTATCAACTGAGGTGACAGATGTGAATTCCAACCCAGGCAGACCTGGGTTCAGAGTACGTCCTGCTGGCTCACTGCCCTCCACTGCTAAGCCTGGCAGTTTGGGGAGGGGAATCTGTTAGATGGAGGTTCCCTGATGAAGAAATCCAAAATTTCTGGGGAGCCAGGTAGTCTCACCTTCCAGCCCCAGAGAGCCCCTGGGGCCTATAAAGGAGCAGATCAGCAGGCAGTGTAGCTGGGTGGTCTACAAACCGGGATTCTGAAACCAGATTGCCTTGCACAATCTAATCACCACTCTGTGCCTCAGTTTCCCCCTTTGGAAAATGATGATGGAACTGCCATGAGCAGGTGGTCAGAACTCAGTAAGTTAATATGACACAGTCTTTGCAACAGGCCTGGCACCCACGTGGACTTTTTTTTTGGGGGGGGGCAGAGTCTGAAGTTGTCATCCTGAGTAGAGTGCCATGGCATCATAGCTCACAGCAACTGCCAACTCGGGCTCAAGTGATCCTCTTGCCTCAGTTTTTCTATTTTTAGTAGAGATGGGTCTCACTTTTGCTCAGGCTGGTCTTGAACTTGTGAGCTCAAGCAATCCACCCGCCTCAGCCTCCCAGAGCGCTAGGATTACAGGCATGAGCCACAGTGCCCAGCCGCCACATTGTTTGCGACCATTATTGATGTCTTTCGGAGTCTGTCTTTCGATACAAGGTGGGCTCCATATAAGCAAAGAAATTGTTTTCTTTTTGATAGAGAGAACTTGGCATATAGTAGGTGCTCAATAAATGTTGGTTGAAGGTAGGATGAGGTTCCAGACAAGGGTCAGTAGTGGAGAGGTGGAGGAAGCAGGGGAGGGGATGAGATGGTTTGGGGCACTCACTATCTCAAACTTCTTGTCGGGATAGAGGCATGTTTCTCCTCCTGCTGTGAAGTTGCAGAAAACCCTGAGGGCATCCCTGGCACAGCCCTGGTTGGGGTCAATCCAGTATTCCCCTGCCACAGAGTCAGGCAGGGCAGGTGAGGTAGGGAGAGGCTGGATCAGGACTCCCACCCCGGGGAGGGACTGGAGACCTCACCATCCGGCAGGTGCGGGTGGTTGCGGTGCAGTTCATGGCACACGAGGCCCGGCCGCTCCGCTGTACCCGGAGGGCGTCGCATCTGTTCCAGCTCCAAGCTCAGCGACGTGAGCGAGGCCAGCACCTCCTCCAGGCCGTGCTCAGGGACTGGGATGGAGCGCCGGCGACGCAGCCCAAGAAGCTCTGCAGAGGGACCCTGGCATGGGGGTGGGTTGAGCAAGGCGTGGGGGGCATTGGGGGAGGGGAAAGAGAAACATGAAATAGTGGGACAATTACTGAGATGGACGGAGACAAAGAGGAAGAAATGGAGTGGGAGAGGGGAACTCAGCTGAAGGAGATAAGACCCTAGCTACAGCAGCCACCAAGGAAAGACATCTCCCCTAAACCCCCTCCTAGCCCAGACCCTACCAGGGCTTTCCAGGAACTGCACTTTGCAGCCACATTCCCTGAACACCAGGCCAAAGGGCCCTCCCCAGATATAGTCCCTGCCCTGCCCTCAGGTCCTGGTGCTCAGGCCCCTCTCCTTGGGGAACTCACCGGGGGTCCTGGGGGGCCTGGAGGACCAGTATCTCCACGGGGACCAAGGAATCCCTGCAGGAGAAGTCACTTGGGGGTGTACTCTGTCTATGAAGACCTCTTCCTGTTCTCTCTCTCTCTCTCTCTCTCACTCACACACACACACACACACAGCCCTGAGGGAGAGACATGCAATGCTGAGCACTAAGCATTTCTATTCTTTTCATATTTTAATGTCTCTGAAACCAGCATCTTCACGACTTTAGCAAGTCATCATTTCCTTGGCACAACTGTTTTCTTTCACAGCAGTTTATAAAATAATGGTGCATCTTACAATTGATGGCACTTTAGATTTGATGAAATACAACAGTAGGTGTTGAAAAAATATTTGTTGAATGCACAATTGGGTGAATAAATAAATGAATAAATGCAGAGGCATTCTGAGGGTTCTGGTGAGGTGGAGGAGTGTGAGTTGGGATGAGGAAGCCCAAGGAAACAGGGTGTACTCACCGGAGACCCCTTTGAGCCTTTCTGTCCCAGAGGACCCTGTGAGGTAGAGACAGGGTAGCTGGAGTCCTAGCCTGGCCCACCATGGTCACCCCATCCTACTATCTGCTTCCATACTCACCGCCACACCTGGGGATCCAGGGGGGCCCAGAGAGCCGATGGGACCAGGGGGACCCTGAGGAAAAGCAATCACAATCAGTATTGTTGGGATGCAGCATTATTACCCTGACGCATTCCCCAAACCAGCCCCCAATCCCCTCAAGCCCTAAACAAGCCTCTGATTAGCTTAAAGGGAGAACCCCCAAACCCCAGACACAGCGTCCAACCTGCAAGTCCCCAGGTACAGCCGCCCCCCCCCATTTTCCCAAGACACATCCCCATCATTCCAGACCCCTAGGTTTCCCAGATCCCACACCCACATTCTCCAAATGGGCCTCATTCTCTGCCTCTCCACCCACCCTCTCCTTTGAACATACTCAGGGCAGGACACACACTCACAGTGTCTCCCTTGGGTCCTGGGGGCCCCTGAACGCCAGGCAGACCCTGATCCCCTTTCTCACCAGCCTCTCCAGGGGGGCCAATGAGACCAATTAATCCAATATGGCCCTGGAGGACAAAAGAGGCATATGTAGGGAAGGGAGCGGGAGGCTGCTGGGAGATCCTAGAACCTTTTTCTCCTAGAGCCTTGGAGTGATGAGTTTGGGGGCAGAAGGCACCCCATTCTCTCAGCCTTCCAGGAGGAGAGTAATGGGACTGGGTGTGCTTACCTTTTCCCCCTTGAGGCCAGCATCTCCCTTCAGCCCTGGGAGGCCAGAGGGCCCCTAGGGGGGAGAGCAAGGGTCAGTTGAGGATTTTCAAGTGTGACATCTCAAGGTCTACGTGGGTGCTTAGGGGGTGGCCAAGAGAAATGACCCCAATTTTATTTTATTTTTATTTTTTATTTTTTATTTTTTTTGAGACAGAGCCTCAAGCTGAGCCCCTGGATAGAGTGCCATGGCTTCATTGCTCACAGCAACCTCCAACTCTTGGGCTCAAGCGAGTCTCCTGCCTGAGCCTCCCAAGTAGCTGGGACCACAGGCGCCTGCCACAACACCCGGCTATTTTTTGGTTGCAGCCATTATTGTTGTTTGGCGGGCCTGGGCTAGATTTGAACCCGCTACCTTAGGTGTATGTGGCTGGCACCTTAGCCGCTTGAGCCACAGGCACCAAGCCATGACCCCAATTTTAAGTGGGAATTAGCAGGAATGTAGTCATGAACACAGTGAGAAGACAAGAGGGATGAGGGGAGCTAAAGAGGGGTGGGTAGGAGAATGGCCAGTAATAATGGTCAGTGGCCAAAATTGGTGTGGGAGGTTAGTGTAGGCCCTCCGTATGGGGCAGGTCAGTGTAGTAGTACAGACCATCAGGATGGAGTGCCAGTGTGCTCAGTGTAGACTATCAAGATGAGGGGGCAGAGTGGCTGGTTAGTAGGGATAGTCCATGTGGACAGTCAGATGGATGGTCCGTGAGGACCCAGCCTGCACCATTAGCACCAATGGTCACTAGATGGTCACTGGATGAGGGTGGCTCTCAGAGCTGACTTCAGAGACAAGTCTCTTACCAGGGGGCCAGGAGGACCAATCTGCCCAGGGGGTCCCAGAAGGCCTGGTTCACCCTGTGGATGAAATAGAACACAGGGTCATCCACACCCTGGCAGAACCCAATGTGGATGCCCTACCCAGAACGAGGAGCAACACCTTGGACCAGGCCTCCTCAAACTACAGCCCGCAGGCCACATCTGGCCCACCTAGGGCATTTATCCAGCCCACCAGGTGTTTTTGCCACCACTCCCTGTCCTGCTTAGCAGCCGACTCGTCCTGGGGCCCGCAGTCCGGCCCTCCAACAGTCTGAGGGACAGTGAACTGGCCCCCTGTTTAAAAAGTTTGAGGACCCCTGCCTTGGACTGTGATGAGATCACAAGTTGTGCACCCGTAAGGAAGGGACTGATTCCCCCCACAGCCATCTGCCCTGGCCCAGGCCCCTTCCTCACCCTGACCTAGCCCCAGCCCCTCCCAGCTTCACCCTTGGCCCCGCCCTGTCCCTGTCACCATCCCTCATCCCTGCCACACCTCTAGCCCCACTCACCACAGGACCTGGGATCCCTTGAAGGCCTTCAGGCCCCACGCGTCCAGGGGGTCCTCGAGCCCCCACTGGGCCTGTCCTTCCCAGGGGCCCATCAGGACCTGGCTCCCCCTGAATAGGACAGGGATAAGGGAGGACACCAAGAGTCAGAGGGGTCCCCTGTCCTGACCCTGCCCGCCTCAAGAACCCATTAGGGATGGGGAGGGAATTGGGGCAACTGCAGTGGTCATAGGCCCATCCCCTCCTGCTGACCCAGGAGTCAGTACAGGGACCCCTCCCAGGGTGGCACGTGGACTCACCTTGGCACCTTTCTCTCCTTCTTTGCCTTCTCGACCCTCACGGCCAGGAGTGCCCTGAGGAAGGAAAGACAGTGTGTGTGTTGCGGGGGGCGGGGGGTGTCTATGAGGGACTGTGAGCTGAGTGGGACAATGTTGGAGCTAGGGCAGCCAGGAGGTGGCTTTTCACTCACCCTCTTGCCAGGAGGCCCAGGAGTTCCAGCTTCCCCAGAAGCTCCAGGTGGACCCTATGGAGGTAATTGAGCACCAGGAACAGCATTAGCTAAGTTTGACTGTGTCTGACTGTCTCAGGACCCCATTGATCCAATGACAGTTTTCCCCCAGACATCACCCAGCACCAGCTACCTCCCACTGCTCCCTCACCTTTTTGGGGGGGGAGCAGAGAGGTGAGCAGGAGCATCTTCAGGGGCCCTGGTACCCTACTAGCCTACTCCTCTTTATCCCCAATTTATCCATCACCAGCTGCCTAATCCCCCAAGAACACACTGTTCCCCAACTCACCGGTGCCCCAACATCACCAGGGTCTCCCTTCTCCCCAGAGGGACCATCTATACCCTGCATTGAAGACAGAGTTGGGAGAAGTCATGAGATTTGGGGGTGGGGCTTAGAGGAAAGGGAGGGCTGTTGGCTCCACTGACCGTGCCCAGGTCTGTTAGCAGGGGTGTGGGGACAGAATTAGGAAACATGCTGGGCTTGGCAGAGGTGGGGCTTTGGGGAGGGTCACACTCACGGAAACTCCAGGATCTCCTGGAGGCCCTAGGTCTCCAGGGAGTCCCGTGGGGCCCTGGAACACAAAATGATCAATAATCATTAATCACTGTGTTCACCTAGTGACCATTCATTCAATACCTCTGAATTACCAAGCAGTCATCCACTGATTGAATAGATCAACTGTGCCTAAGAACAGTTCTGGTTGCAGGGGACACATTAGAGAACAAAATACAAAATCCCTGGGCTGGGAAGACAGAATATTCAACCAGGGTTTCATGGGCACAGACTCTGAGCTAAGAATTCTACATGTATCATCTCACTCCCTGCAGCCTCACAGAGAAAACTGATGCTCAGAGCAGGGACACTGAAAGCAGCAGGGGTAGTGAGATTCAAGTCAAGGCTCCACCAATGCTCCAGTTCCTCACACCTGTCCTCCACCCCACACGCAAGCCTTCTCACAATGGCAGAAGGGCCTCCATCCATATCCCAGTGCCTAATCTCACATCAATCCCAACTCTGACTCAGCCTCAACTTCAATCTTAGCGTGCCAACAGTGTTAGAACAATTCAGTGTGAAATCAACTTTCACCCCATGCGATGACATATAACCACTGTATTTGTTCATTCATTAAGCAATGCCCTGAGTTGCTCATTAGGTCTATAAATTGCAAAATGCTGGCTAGAAGCTTGGGAGAGACTCAAGTGTATTCAAGTGCCCTCCCACCTCTGCCTCCACCTCCTCCCAGGACTCACCACGTTCCCTTTGGCACCATCCTCCCCAGAGGGGCCTTTCTTGCCTGGGGGTCCAGCAGCCCCAGATGGACCTGTGTCTCCCTTTTCACCAACTTCTCCCTTGGGCCCCTTTTCAGAAATAGAGGTCAGAGGTCAGAGTGGCCTGGGTTCTTTGGGGATCAAAGATTAGCATACTTGGATTTAGGCATCAGAGTGGTCTGGGACTTTTCTAGGGTCAGGAGTCAGAGTAGCCTAGGTTGCCCAAAAGTTAGGAAGTGAGAAGAACCTAAGACTTATGAGAGAGAGGGAGTCAATGAGGTCCAGGTGCCTGCTGGTAACATGCCAAATTGGTCAATGTGCTGCCCTCATGTGAACTAGAAAAGAGGTCTGCTCTGCCCAACTCATCCCCAAGTCAGGCCTCATGGTTTGAATTTGAGCCCCCAACCTGCCCCCTGGGCCCTGCAATCTTGTGCAGTGTGAAACTGTACACAGAAGCCCTCTCTTGAAACCTCCAGAAGTCTTTATTTCCTATAGGTCCTGGGTGAATGGATAACCTAGGAGTGCCCAGGGGTCAAGGTGCCAGGGGCCACAGTTCATAGTCACTCACTGGGATTCCTGGGGTTCCAGGAGGTCCTGGGTCTCCAGGTTCCCCTGGCTCACCCTACAGGAGGAAAAGTGAGAGTGGGAAGAGGTCAGACAGGGAGGGGCTCCCAGAGACAGCCATACCCAAGCAAGAATGCATTTATCTCCCTACCCTAGGTGGCCACTGCCTTCCCTTTCTCACCTTCTCACCCACAGCGCCCGGCTGACCAACTCCTCCTGGCAGCCCTGGAGAGCCCTAGGGAGACAGCCAGGTGAGAAGGGTGAGGTTGTGGAAACCAAACAGCCCTTTTTGGGAAATAGGTGTTCCCACCTCTGAGCTATCCTGCCCCCTTCTCAGAGTTCTTACCTCTGATCCACTGGGTCCAAGGGGACCCCGAGGACCTGGAGCTCCAGGGGGACCCTGCAGAGAGCCAGAAGAGTATCCAATGACTCCATGCCCCCCTCAAAGGCTACAGTGACCACAGACACCACCCTTCATGCTTCAAAGGACAATGTGCCTGTGGACTCCCCACCATAATCCCACATCCCACCCCCACCCACATTGCCTTGGGAGTCCGTACCATGGACCCGACATCTCCAACCTCACCCTTCTCTCCGGGAGGGCCTGGCAGCCCCTGTGGAACAAAGAAACAAGATTGGGCACAAGTGGGGAGAACCAGAATTGCTACCACCAAATACAGACACCCACCTGCAAGCCAGGGGGACCAATCATCCCCACAAAGCCTCTGACTCCATCATCTCCTTTATGTCCAAAGAGGCCTGGGAGTCCCCGGCGTCCCTGAGCCCCATCTGCTCCCTGGAAGAAGGACAGAGGCCAGGGATCTGGTTGGGGTCCATGTCAAGGCTTAGAGATAGGGCCAGGACTGAGGTAAAGGGTTGGAGTCAGGGTTGAGATTAAGTTTGGGGAAGGTCAGGGTTGAATTTGGAGTTGGGGTATGAGTTAAGGGACAGACAGGGTTTGGGAATTAAGAATTGAATGAAAGTTTTAAGATGGGTGTTAAATGATGAGTCAGGCTTGGGGGTGAGGTTCAAGTCATGAGCAGGTTTCAGACAGGGCTGGGATAGGGTTCAAGATTGGGGATAAGGCTGAGATTGAATCAAATTCTGGAGTTGAGTTCATATAGGTTGTCAGTGTTTATGGGCAGATAGAATTTGAGTTTGGGGTTGAGTCAGATTCTGGAGTTGAGTTCATATTTGGTGGCAGCGTTGAGAGGCAGACTGAGGTTGGGTTTGAAGTTGAGAATGCATTTGAGTGGAAGAAGACAGTGGCCATTCCCAACAGGGATCTGGAAGAGGGTCACAAAGATGGCAGAGCACTCACTGGGGGGCCTGGGTGTCCCACGGGACCCCGTATCCCTGTTGGTCCAGGTGGGCCCTGCAGTCGGGATGGAATAAAAATATCCTTCAGGCTTAAGGTTAGAGGGGGCATGAGAGATGTCAATCACTGCCTCCATGCCCACACCTCCTTTTTTTTTCTTACTTATACATGTGTATATTAGGTTTCCACTTTTGCCACACCCCTTCTTAGAACAACTCCCTCCTTACCAGGAAACAACAGTTTCATTCCTCCTCCCCTACCAAATCCTGTCTTCCTAGCACCAACTGATGGGACCAGAGACAGAAATCTGTCCTATCCCTGGACAACTGAGACCTGTCCCTAGGAATCCCATTGAGACTCAGGGATAAAGCTGGTTCACCGACACTGGACACTGGAACTGAAGTTCTTGGTGTTGGGGTGATGCTGCAGACAGAGAGCCTCAGTGCCATGCAGAGTCACAACCAGGGGCGGGTACATATCACCCGGGAAAGCAGAGGGGAGGGTAGTCCCCTCAGTGTTGTTTTGGGGCCCCAGCTACCATGTTTGGAGTGAGGTTCTGTGGCCTGTTTGCTCCAGGTACCTTGAGTAGCTTCTGTTGCATGCAGGTGTCAAGATGGTGCTCAGGAAAGCAGGAAACTCTGTGCCCTCCCCCTATCCACCAGTTCTTCATATCCCCGACCTCCTCTGCCCTCCCCTGAAGACGTCCGCTAGCTGGTGCCCCCACTCACCACATCTCCCTTGTCACCTTTGCTCCCTTTGTGACCGGGGGCTCCCACCTCCCCCTGTAGAGAAAACAGGATAAAGGAAGACCAGTCTCCCTTCACCCCCACCCCATCTTCCCCACACCCTCCCTCTCTGTGAACCACCTACCTTGTCCCCTTCCTCTCCAGAGGGCCCAGCAGGTCCAGAGGGTCCTAGAGGACCCAAGGGCCCTGGGATCCCATCTTTGCCAGTAGGGCCAGGAGGACCACGTTCTCCCTGAAGGGAACAATAGAAGGGATGTCAAGGGAGAAATGCTGTGCAGGTGCCAGGCCCTGAGGGATGGCAAGGGGAGGTCACTCACCGGAGACCCTTTCTCGCCTGCAGGGCCAACAGGCCCCTGGCCACCGCTCTGGCCAGGAAGTCCAATGCCTCCTGCTGGGCCCACAGGACCCCGCTCACCAGGGGGGCCCTGAAAATAGGGTAAAGTGTCAAGAATGATAACAAGAGTAGTAGCACTCTTTATGCAGGGTTTTTAAACCACCTGCTACAGCTTGGCATCTAATCTGTTCCCTACAGCAGCCCAGAGGCGACCAAGAACACCCTCCTCTGCCCACATCCCACCATGGCTCCCAGCTCCCTCAGAGTAAAAGCCAAAGTTCTCCTAGAGGCCCACAAGGCCCTGCACGAACTGCCCCTGTCACCTCCCTGCCTTCGTGTTCCTCCACTCTCCTTCTCACTCCCTCAGCTCTAACCACACAAAGCTCTTCCCTGCTGCCCCTCAAAGTGTCAGGCATGGTCCTGTCTCAGGGACTTTGCACATGCTATTTCCCAGACATTCACATGTCTCTTCTGTCACTTACTGCAGGTTTCAGCTCAGATGTTACCTTCTCAGATAAGCCTTCCCAATCAGTCTATTTAAAGTGCTTTTCCCCAGCCTCTGGCTCCCCTGATCTGTCTTGTTTCATGGTATTCATCACTGGCTAACTCCTCCACCTCTACTAAACTGTAAGCTCCAGCAGAAAAGAGGTTTTTCTGGGCTGGTGTCTAGCACATAGGAAAAGTATTTGTTGGATGGACTGCCCAACACTGAGGTTTATGATAATATATAAGATGAGGCTTTTCATCACAGCTATTTTACTGACAAGGAAACTGAGTCTCACCAAGTAATACAACTGCCTAAACAGTGAGTGGCAAAGCTAGATGCGACCCAGGCCTGTTTAACTCCCAAGACAGGTGTCATCATAGCAATGCCAAGCTTCCAAGACACCCTGAGTCCACCCCATGCCCTGTCCCCCACCCAGATGAGGTTGCACTTACATTGGCCCCAGTGGGCCCTGGGGGGCCTTTGTCACCCTTCAAACCAGGAGGTCCCTGTAGGAGGAGATAGTTCACTGTCAAGAGACCTCAGGAACAGGCGGCACCTGTGGCTCAGTGAGTAGGGTGCTGGCCTCATATACCAAGGGTGGTGGGTTTGAACCCAGCCCCAGCCAAACTGTAACAAAAAATAGCCACACATTTTGGTGGATGCCCGTAGTCCTAGCTACTTGGGAGGCTGAGGCAAGAGAATCACCTAAGCCTAGGAATTAGAGGTTGCTGTGAGCTGTGTGATGCCATGGCACTCTACCAAAGGCGATAAAGTGAAACTGTCTCT